ACAGGAATAAAAATAAATAGCCAAGGACAAACTGGAGAAACAAATGAAATTATTAAAAAAATAGAAAATATGGAAAGAAGGCTAGCATATTTACAGGAGGAGTATAGCCAACTTGAGGGGAGAAATCTCCAAGAATTAAATAATGGCTTGATGGAAACCAGAATTATAAACAATTACATAGGAAGTAGAGAGGAACATAAATTTGAAGGGGACAACCGAAAGGTACATCCCAAAGTTTTTATCAAAGTTTTAAAAAACAAACTGAAGAGTATCAGGACTAACGAGGACATGAGGGAAATTATTAGAGAAAACCTCGACAGTCATGCTTTGGTTTGGTATACCAGCAAAGAAGAGGAATTTCAAAGTTTCGCAGATTTTGAGACTCAATTCATGAGGTACTTCTGGGGAAACAATGCCCAAACCAGGGTAAGAGAGAAACTCTATTCTGGAAAATTTGAAACAGGCAGAGGAAATAGCATGAATGATTATGCAATGAAAATTTATATGAATGCCAAATTCTTAGATCCACCCATACCAGAGGAGGAAATCATAATGTTTATTTCTAGGCATTTTAAATTTGAAATAATGGAAACCATTGCTATTCAGAATATCCAAAACATTGAACAACTAAGCAATTATCTACAGAGGGTAGAAAGAAACAGGACTGATAACAATAATTATAATAGAAATAGAAACTTAATGGAAAATAGAAATAACAACAAATATAATAATAATTTTGACACATATCAACAAAACAACAATAACAATTTTGAACATACAATAAATAATCAAAACAATAGAAGAAACAATTATGATAGTTATTACAATAGGAACAACTATAATAGTAACAGAAATAATAATTATAATAGAAACAATAATTATTTAAATAACTCTAACAATAGCAATAATTATAACAGGAACAATAACACTCAATACAACTCAAGGAATTTTAATAGAAATTATCAATACGATAATAACAACTATCGAAATAGAACAATCGAAAACAATAATAGGAATGCAAATCATGAAAATAGACACAGAGAAAATAACAGAGAAGAAAGAAGAGATTATAGTGCTGGAAGAGGAGACAGAAATATAGAAGAAATACGAAACACAAATGGTGAACAGAGAAGAATCAATAATATGCAAAGACAGAGACAAGAGGAGAGAATAGTATCTGTGGAACCAGAGATAGTTACTGAAGAAATGCCCGAGCAAAATTTTGGTTCAGGCACATACCAAATGTAAAAAATACAATCTGCACATACGAACATCCAAGGGAGTACATTAAATTTGGGGAAGAATTAGATTTAGAAAAAATTATGGGGTTAATTTATATTAAAGGAAAATTAAATGGAAAACAAGCAAAAATATTAATTGACACTGGTTCAGAGGCGTCCATTATAAAAACCAAATTAATAGAAGATTTAGAGAATTATGAAAATAAATTAATTAAAATACCTAAAACTACATTAATAGGAGCAAATGGAAGAAAGTTATGTGAAGTTAGTAGATCTATAATACAGAAGATTGAATTAAAGGATGGGAAAGAATTAGAAATGCAGTTATTATTAGTAAACAATTTAGAAGCAGACATAGTTATAGGAATTGATGAGCTAACGAAGTATAAGGCGAGAATTGATTTTGAAGAGATGAAAATAGAATTAGCTGGAAATAGAATTGAATTTGAAGAAGCAAATAAGGAAGAATTGGAAGTTGAAGAGGATGTAAAGAAGTTATGGCATGTAGAAAGGAGTGGCGCTATAGAAGAATTGGAATTAGTGTGTGGAAATAAAGAATATGGGAAGAAGGTGAAGAATTTAATAATGAAATATGAAGGTTTAATTAGGAAGGAAATGAGAATGGCAAATAATTATGTACACAAGATAGAAGTAAAAGGCATAGAGAATTTCAGAATAAGAACATATCCCATACCTTATAAATATAGAAAAGATGTAGAATTGGAGATTAAAAAAATGTTAAAGGACGGTATTATAGAAAGATCTAACACAAGATATGTGAATCCTATTGTGGTAGTAAAGAAAGCAAATGGAGAGCTACGATTATGCTTAGATGCAAGAAATATAAACCAATACTCAGTACCACAATACGAGGCTCCAATGAATGTAGAGGCGATATTTGGACGCATAACCGATACAAAAATATTTTCAAAAATAGATTTGAAGCACAGCTTTTGGCTTATTCCATTGGATGAACAGTATGAACACAGTAGGACACTATACATAGAAACATATTAACATTGTAAATAATTTAAATAATAATTTAGTAAAATACTGCAAAACATGATAAAAAAGATTAATATAAATTTGTATTTATAAATTTTTCTAGTGGAAAAATTTGATAAAGACAAAATTTAGGGGAATTTGATATAGAAAATAAAGGATCACCCTGTCTAATAGGAAACTAATATTGATCAGTGTATTGAGAATATTTAAATTAAGAATTTTAATAAAGATTCTAAATAAAGCGAGTAATCAATTTGTATAAGAAATCAATTTAGACTTTCACAATACACTCTGTATATATTTTATAATTAACACTTACCTTATTAAGATTGAAAGAAATGAAACAATTTAATCCTCAATCCCAATTGATTTATTTTTAAAGAAAAACAACGAAAAATAACAATTTCATAGTAATACGATGGCATCTCATAATCCACTAAATTTCTTTAAAATACAATTTTCTTGAAAAGCTCAACATCTTGGATTAGTTTTCATTCAAACGTAGAACCTGAAATTGGAAAAATATATTAATATGGTTATTAAGTTTGTAACACTCTGTAAACAATATTTCTAAAATGCAAAGCAGGTGAACGAACATTTATTTTGACATATTTAAACTAACTAGAAATTAGAAATGCCAACATGACTCAGAACTAAGAATTGTAATTTAGAAAAGGAAAATCTATAACAAAATTATATTTGGATATTTCTTAACTGAATGACAGAATGTATAATCGAGTGTATAATTAAAGTTTAATAATATTCCTTTGAAATTATTTAAAGAAATATTCAGAATTTTCATGGAAATTAGAAGGAATCCATTTCATTGGTCATTGTAAAACCAAGGATTGGATTTATTAATTGATACTAAAGCTTTGTTAAAAAAATAACAAAAAGTGGTAGATCCTTAGTAACGAAATATTGAAAAGACTGATAGGAGACAGTTACGGATTTTTAACAAAAAAATTGGTTCAAATTATTAAGAAATTTGCATATAGTATTTTTAAAAGTGTGTACAAACCTAGTAATATGTTTTTTGGACAAAAACATAACATTTAGATGCCTCCAGAATTTGGAAGACTGGTGAAATTAAGTTTTCCGAAATCCTACATTGTTTGTATGGTAAGAATTTGTTTGTTTCCCAGCAACGATCTCAATTTGATGAAGATCCATTGAAGGTGGAACTTTATGCATATCCTTTTGTAAGGAATTTCGCCGACCGACGACCTGAAAATAATATTTGGATTGGTTTTTCGATATTTACGGTTTACGGACAGTAAAGGTATTCCTATAAATTCATTTTCAATAAAACATATTTACCTGTGTTTCAATTTTGTATCTAGTTAAGTATATATTTTTTTAATCTACTGATTCTAACCCTACATTTCGTTTGGTCAATGACAAGATCTAATATTATGAATCTACAAACAAAATGTACTAGTTTAGACTTGGTAAAAAAAATATTTTCATAGTTTTTCCTCATTAGAATACATGTTTTGAATGAATGAAATCTTCACTAATATTAGATTAATCATTTTGTAATGATTAATGTGTTTGATATTGAATTTGACATGTTTTATAATAAAACTATTACGTTTTCCCATTGAAAATTTTGAATATTTATTTCACTTTAATTTCTATAAGGTGGTAACACTGGAACAACTGGCGAACATTGACCCAATTTCCAGGTCTGTCTTAAACAAATTGATAATACTTGGTATTTGAAAATTAAAAAATTTAGAAATTAAAATAAAGAAATTTAGTTTTGAAGCTTATTATAAAGAATTTGGCGTCATCATTTATAATATTAAACAACCTTAATTGCGGACCACGAACCCTGAAATAAAGAGTCAATAGTAATTTTATAACATTAAAAATAATTTGATTAAAGGGCAAGTAAAGATCTTAAAATTGAATTAAATAACAAAATAAATTATTTCAGATTTTTTTTTGATAAAACAAATATACAGGGCGCACCAAAATTTAGTTGAATTTAACAAAAACATATTCTTATTAAAACAGCAACTAGAAATTTATTTATAATTAATGTTAGTTTTGTAAACATATATGGTGAATAAAAAAAAATAAATATAACAATTATTGTTATAATTTAAACACATAAATTATAACATACAAATATAAATCATAACAATATATATATATATTTTACACGTAAACACGCAGAATGTACTACATCTAGTACAATTGTGAATTGTACTAGACTGGCAACAGTGGTTTGGCAACCTTGTTTGTGAGCGGCACGCCAATTAATGTGTTCTTTGACAGTTTGAAGAATCTGTTGGCGTGTTTTCTTCTCTTTTTAGCTATATGCATTCACCATATCGTCTCACTCATCATAATGCGCCACAGACACATTATACTTAGGTATACTATGCCACAGAGATGTGATTAGCCAGAGGACAATGATGTACCAAAAAATATAGATTAACATGTATGAAAATAAAAATATTAAAATTAAATATATATATATATATATTTTTATGTTATTTATGTTATTTTAAAATAATGTGTTTTTATGAAATTTAACTGGGTGTTCACTGCACAAATGAACCAATAGAGAAACCGTCCCTGATTATAATGACGTCCCTATATTTAAGATTTACATGTGGGTAAATTTAAAGATACTTTGTGAATTAGCTTATACTTATATCTCATAATCATTATTTGTTTCGTTTCATGTTAAATTTCATGTCATAATCATTCCTAATGTTCTGTTCTCCGCTCTTTTTTCAGATAGATCTCTTAATGACAGTTAACTGAGATTCCAAAATGAATTTTGGTTTCAGTAGTGTCGTAAGGAGAACATGCAGCGGTGCCCGTACCTGTACGAGATGAAAGAAAGATTGCTGGAGGACACCATTCCCACGAAAATAATCATGCCCAAGGAAGTACCGCCGCCGTGTCCGCCCCTACCCAAGGACCAACAGCCACTTATACAACAAAAGCCCGTTGCGACCGTAGTTAAAGTAAGAAAGAGTGACATTTTTACTACAGGGTGTATCAAACATTATTTACTGTAGTAGGTTTTTTTTACTACAATTCTGAAAATTGAAGGCATTATATAAGGACTGTTGAAATTAAGGAAAAATCAGCATTTTTGTTCAGAATAAAAAAAAAGAATAGAAATATTTATCGAGTGGCTTACGCAATATGAATGTCTATTCTATTTTAAAAATGATATACCCATAAACTTACAAAATCCTACAAAAATAAATGATTATTTTACTAGTATTTTTAAAATCTGACAATTGTCTTGATACGATTCATTTTTATTGTAATAATAAATACTTGAACAAATTAATATTTTAAAAACTCAACTCTTATTCTTCTAGAAGTGAATGACGTCATACTCAAACTTCGTCTTGCGGTGTAAATATATTCATATCCACTCTTGTTGCACAAACCGAATTATTTAACGCTAGAATTAAAATTAAAGCCTCAAAAATAACATTTATGTACAAAATCATTAAAAATACAAAAATTCGACTAATTTTTTTTGGGACACTCTATATCTTATATAAGAACTACGCTTCGCTGCACACATACATACCTGTGTTGTACATCTCTATACCTACTCCCCCTAATGCATGCAATTATGTTCTTTCACACATGACACATACCTTTTCACAAGTACATTCTCAGTAACAAGGGTTAATTTTAAAGAGGGAGCTAACACAAAAAAATGAATATTCATCGGGACATTTTAAAATCTCTATAGTAAATCTGTTTACAAGGACAGGGGTTACAAGGTGAAATAGGTAATTATGCCTCTGTTGTATACATTGATACTGAATTCCCTCTTGAAAAAAAATATGGCGTAATATAAATGCACAGGGTTGTCTTCATTATGGATGAAAAAAAATTTATATATATAAAAGGATAAAAAATACACATTATAAAAAAAGAGATGAATAAAGAAAATTTTATTATTCCAAACTAAACTGAAAATTTATTGGTTATACTTACTGTCATGCTAGTAAAATATATGTACAATGACTAATGTTTAATTATATTAAATGTCCTCAACTAATAATTTGTTTTTCTATAGTACATTTAATGAAAAATAACAGCTGGTTTTTCACATAATGAACTTGAAATGATTGTCATCCCGAATTCATAAAATATAAGGTAAACTTTCAATATATATATATACTACAATTGAAAATTTACAAAAGACAAACTAGGATTGGCAGTTATATTAGGGTAAAACTTCTAGAAAACTTTCATTCATACACACTAGTGTTATTTCAATAATTTGAGATATGTATCACAAGGATTTTAATCTTTAATTCATGTTCTAAATACTTTTTGATTAGGTGAGCCGTACTCAATATACATTGCTCAACAATTTTAAAGTGTAAATATTTGAAATACATTAATTTTAAGATGAAACCAATGACACAAAACTAAACTAAGCTTCAATGAAGGTAGAAGTTGAAAAAATAACAACATATAAAATTTTTTTATCGATAAATTTACATTGTTACAAAAAAATAATATCGTGTTAGCTCCACATTAGCTTTTATTTCTTAATATTTTTATTTTATTTAAAAATTATAGATACAGTTATAGATGGTTTGTTATAACATTTTTAAATTTGTTATAACATATTTAAATTATAATTTCTTGGCAATTAGAATCAATTTTGAGAAATGTATTTGATAACTTCATAGAAGAGTCATGTGTTGAATAACTCATATTCTTTCAATAAAAAAATTTAATATGGCTACTACGCCAATAACTTATTCATAAATAATCGGATTTTTAACGTGCCAATATAAAACATACGCAATAAAGTCATGGTAATGGAAAAAATTCGTAAACCTCTACCTTGTTGTGCAACATCGTTGCCAGACTTAACATAAAAAGAAAAACGCAAGGGCTAAACACAGAGTGATGATTGCAATATTATCTTGAGTTCAGAAAAACCGCGATTATGCTAATATCCCAAATTTCGATGGAAACGTAAATATCTAGTCACGTGGCCTAAATCCCTACACCGGAAGTAGCAAATGCTTGTAAAGGAATTTTTTTTATTGTTATAGACATCTAGAAACATATATTTTGTTGCCAGCAAAAAACGACTAAATTCATCGATAAGCAACTTTACTTAGAATCTGACGGGTCACACGACAACTACTATCACCGCGACATAATACATGTTGTTCTCCCAGCTTTCCCTGTACCCAACTACAAAAAACAGGACATGTCACTTTTTGCATTAAGATGAGAAACTATAACATTTCTTTTCTATAAATACATACAAGAATGTCAAAATTATTTATGAATACTAAACATATATTTTATATTTTTAAGAATACTCGTAATTCTGAAATGTTAAGATTTAGTGTTTGATTTAGTAGTTTTACTAATAATGTTGTAGAAACAGTTTTTAATCATAGTGAACCTGTGTCAGTCAGTCTGATAGATATTATATAAAAGAAAAGTTAATCCGTTTTATTTCCACAAAATCCGACAATTACCGTCTTGAATACTCGTGAATGCTCTTGAATATTCGTGATGACGTGCAATGGTTTTTGTATTAAAACTCCTATATCTATGTATATACCACGACACCTTTACATTTTAAAATTTTTCGTCAGCAAAGTTGCGCTTCTCTTAAATTTTTAAGAAATACGATCCTGCGTTACATTCTTGAAAGTCGCTTTTTTTTAGCACACGGTAGAGAGTATTTTGAATGGTTTGACAAAGGGCACGAGTCGACCCTAAATATCGATTGCAAGGGCGATTCAGTTCAAGAGGGAGAAGAAGAACTCTTGTAGTTGATGGTGTTGTGCATCGCTCTACGAGTAATCATAGAATTATTATATGCAGGGTGGCTCTTCTTAAGGAATAAATAATCATGTTTTTCTTTATCATAATTTTAATCAACTTTCAAAAGAATGTATACAAATTTTTAATTTGTTCCCTTATATCAAAACAGGGATTAATAAATAATTTTTTTTTCTACATTCATGCAAAAAACAAAACTTTATTGAACTATATTTAGTGAAAAAAGTGGTTCTTTATTACACTAGTACAATAAAAATTTTATTGCACTCATCTGTCATTTTACTACAGCGTTTTATGATCATGACAAACATGAATATTCAAATCGACGCCAAATATTTAGTCCATTTTCATTTTCTGTGAGATTGTATTACGTTTTAAAATTTATTAATATTGAAAATTGTACAAATTGTAGATTTACTTTTAATATTAGTGGCAAAAACAAAGTTTAAGATTGTTCATAACACAGTTGTTCCTAAAGTTTTGGTTAAATTATTTTTCTTAACATAGTTATAGTACTTTTTCAATGTTAATCGATGCTAATTATTAGTTATTAAATATTTTGCTATTAAATTACGCTTTTTATTTTTCTGCACTTAGGTCGCCTAAATAAAACATTTTTTGTTTTGGCATGAACGTAGAAAAAATATTGTATGTAACTCGTGCAAAAAGTGTTTATTGCACTTGTTGCATAAATAACTATTTTTAAGCTAAACGATTTTATTAAAAAAATGCACCAAAAAGTAAAAATAATTTAACAGGGGTGTTCGTAGTTATCACATGTATCTCTGTGTCGGTTTGGATTGTGAATTAATCCTTACATTTTGCCGAACTCTTTGAAAAATTATTATCAATCAAACTACAATTTATTTGCCAACGTGACGTTGTTCAAATAAACTAATGTCGTTCTGGTATCTTAGAGGAAGTTCCAAAGATCCAGAGTAGCTGAGTTATCAATAAAGGATACGGATGTGTCAGAAAAGAAGAATCGATAAAACGCTTTTATTCAAAAATATCTCCTAAGAGACTGGTTTCAGGGCTTTGGTATGCCTAAAGGAAATCATTTTCTACACTCGATTCACTCCTCAAAAGAAACTACACGGGTTTAGAGAAAAAAAGGAGAAAGCCGTCGTCTAAAATGATGGATTAATGGATGGACAAAAAACGACCTATTTCGGGGAATAAAAAAGGCTTTTAATAAAGAGCTTTAACGGATGTTAATTAATTTTGATTTTAATAGTAGCATGGAAAATTAGGTCTGGTAATAGCAAATTAAGACAAGAATGGCAAATCAATTATATTACGCAATCAACAATGCTCTTTTGGAAAAAGTTTCAAATTTCACAATCTTTGCAACTTTTTTTATATTTAAATATAATTTGTATAGAAAAAGATACAATAGATTAAATTTAAGAGGAGTTTGTCCTTGTATCACAACCTCGTCAGATATATTGGGAAACGCCATTATTAAGAATACGTCCTCTAGCTTGGACAGAGATTCTAATGTGCGAACTCAATCATTATGTGTTGAATAGAGAGAGACATTACATAAGAATTGCATTCTGTCGAACCAAGATGGAAGCTTCTCAACACGTGCTGTATTAAAAGACGAGAATCCCACTGCTAGTCTTTTTAATTTGACAGTAGCTTTGACAATGTCTCTCGTATGTAGCTTACTTTTCTTCTCCTAGTATTAGATAATCCTTTTAGCCAGGTATTCATACTAGCACAGGACGTGAATTGACGTTTCCTCTTCTCCTTCACAGATCCTGTACAATGTAGCTTCTTCTGCTGGACTGACGACACTTACGTATCTTCTTAGGCGAGTGTCTAGTAAGAAAGCCAACTGTTATTCTAACGAGTTGTGGCTTTTGATCCAGTAGATCTTTCGTAAAGTTGCCTGACGGTTCTTTTGAACACGTTGACCAATCCAAGATACCTGAGACTCTTTTTGAATCGATTGTTTTATGGATGCTTTGCACAACTCTACAGAAAGGTTCGGGGTCTGTTATGGCCTTATATGAGCCCTCTAGAGCTAGTTCATCGGTCTCTTCATTGCCCTGGTACCCTGGCTAAAGTCACTTTATTTTGACTGCTTAGCTCTGTCAAATCTTCTGCCGCTTGGCTATGTTGATTTATTAATTCTCTTGTATAGTATTGTATGGACATCAGTTCGGGTTGGAACACTGATGCATAAAAGTTGAATGGGTAGAATAAAGTAATAAAATAATAAAGATGATAGGATTATTATATAAGTACCTATACCTTTATTCAACAAGGACTAATAAAGTGTCAGAAGAAAAATAAGAAGATTTAGAACAAAAAGGATGATATAAACTTTATTGATCTGTTAAATTTCTTCAGTCAACCAAACCAATATCTTTCATTGAGTTCGATATCAACATCTGAGGATAGATCATAATATTCTCCAAACTTGGGATTCAAAAATTCAGTTCACCTCTATATTTATATCCTTAGTAATTATAGCTCGGTGTAACTTGTTTATTATCATTTTTTTGTAATTATATCTATGTTAATTTTTAAAAAAGAACTTGAAAAAGTAACAAGAAACAATTTAAATTTAAAATTTAAAAAAATTATTGTTCTATTCTGGTGTATAAATGTACAATGTAAAAATAGGCACCTACCATTAGCAATAAAAGTAAACACCCAATTGAAACATATTTAGGTCAAGACATCTATTAAATTCGTTACAAAATTCTAAACTGCATCGCAAATGTTTCGGTTATTTACACATACCTTCCAAAATCATATTTTCTGACAAAACAAACCGAAATCAGTTCATCAATAATAATTTCACTCTATAGCAAACAATTTTATACTAGAAGAAGTCGTAAAACTTTATTTATTTACAGTGGAACAGTAACTATGGATTAGATAATGAATTTTTAATATCCATCTTGTAGAGGAATTATTTTTGACCATGACCATTTAGACAACTCTTCGTATATGTACATCAGTTTTTTTTTTAAACTCGTGTAGTCTAGAAATTTCCTGTTTACAAAATTTTTGAAAAGCAGAAAGAAATGATAATTAGGAAATGCGCACCAATTTAGAAAATGTAAATATTATGAAAATGATTTTCGGAATCTCATAAACAGAAGTTTTGTTATTTATCCTTTAATTAACGTGTACCGATATATTGGCAAATGTAAATGAACTTTATGTTTACGAGATTTTATCGACTTAGATTATCTGTTAGTGTAAAATAGTATGTAAACTTGATGCTATTTTGATAATTTATAATTTAATAAAAATTTTGAAATCTTCCCAATGCAAATTGTGTATATTTCTTTCTACTTATACAAGGTGAGTCAAAAAGGAATACAAATAATTTTCATACATACAAGTTATGAAAGTAATTTGATTTCAAGTTGATGCTTACAAATTGAGTTCACTGATTTTATCATAAATCCCATCATCAAATCTTGATTAAATGTTTATGGGACCACCCCTGAGGTATCCTTTTCTAACAGAAAAAATAATCATAAAAATCTGACAATGTACTAAAGAATTATCGCTGAATATACATAAAAAAAATTCCACGGATTGTAAAATTGTTAGATACAATGTTGTTATAGTGTTGTTTTAAAGATGGAATAATTTGCGTATTTTGAGCTAAGCCGAACCTGGAGTTTTTTTATTTTATATCTCGGTATATTATTCGATAATATATGGATTAAAATGTCAAAAAAATCAACAGGCTTGTTCCCAAGTCATGAATAAGGACAGAGAATTAGACAAAATTGATTAATGTTTTTTCGTGATGATTTATATTAATAAAAAAAGATTTAGATACGAAAATTTGAATGCTTATGCATTTATTTTACAAGTTAGTTACGATCTCAAAAATAAAATGCACTTCAAGGTTTTAAGAATGTTTTATAGTGTATGTTTACGGTTCCCTGACCAACTTGAATGAAGTCCAAGAAAAATGCTGTATTTGTCATAGTCTATTACTATGAATGATTTTTTGTTTTATATTAATAAAATAATTTCTAAATAATACGGAATGTTGCATTTGTTGGATTAGATTTACGAATAAGAAGAAATTATTTTGTGTACCTTCAGCAGATATTAGCATAAACAATAGAAGGCTGGTGGATACCTTAAAATATAAGAAGCAATAGAGAAAAATAGAATAAGTAAATTAGGCAAAAAGTTATCAGTAATTTAAAAATTTTGTCCTACAAAGATGATCAAGAAAACCTTCATTCAAGGAAGATCTAGTCATAGGGAAGCAATGAAAGATAATACAAAGATAGGAAAGCATGAAGAAAATTGTATTTAAGAAGAAATATTTTCATATCAATTCATAAAATATATATTTAAGACTGAAGGTAGAAGAGATGCCAGCAATATTAACTGACATTTACAAATTATTTTAAAAATACCGAGAAGAAGAAAATAAAAAGATCTATGGGCTTTATTTGTTTCAATTTCTACCGTATCGTTATAATTACATTTATTGACATTTTTATTGCCGTTTATTTGGCTTCCAACCAAAACCATTTCCACTCTCAAATTTAATAAAAAAAAAGTCGCAGACATTGATGTCATAATTTTGATGCAGAAGATAACCGTCACTTTTTAATTAATTGATACATGAACATCGTGCACTTAATTACTAAGTAATAGAGTAATTAATTTATCCTAGTAATATTTATAAATTATTAAGTTAGTTTGGTCTGAACATAAGGCTTGTTTTGTGTTGGAAGTTAATGGAAGTTAATTTCAAAGTGTTTGGGGCTAGGCAATTATTCAGCAGCGTGCTTCTGGTTATACCTTTAGAAGGGCAATATTAATAATAATCAACGATTTACCAGAAATTAAATAGTCCATCAGCTATTGGAAAAAATGGTCTCACTTGTGCTATAAAATCGTGCAGGGTATAATTTTTTAAGTTTTTTGCTTAGATTACTAATATTGTAATTAGGAAATCTCTATAAAATCCCTATAAAAAGCAATTTATTTTTTTTTAGTTTTGTCTTACTTTTTAGGAAATAAACATTTTATTTAAAAACGTTTATAACAAAAGTTGTTCAGATTAAGATTACATAAGAAAAAGGTCTAGTTTTATTTTAAGCTAAAACAAGGTTTGTCAAAAAATATGATTTTGCTAAAGAATAAAGTTACCTTTATTTTTGATAAAATTTTATATTGGATCATCATATTTTAGGTTTTAAACCATGCTCAACTGTTTATGAAAAATATTTTTTTTTCCTAAAATTTATAAAAAAAGTTTTCCATATACCGCCAACTTACGTTCATGTAGATATTATGAGATTAAATTTTTTAAAAATAATTTTTAGTGATGCAGATATAAATACTTTTTTATTACATTTTTATTTTTTTTAGTTCTTTGGCTGTAAAACCTCTCGCTATATAAAGGGTGCTCCATTAAGAATGGGACATAGAGCAACTGAAGATTCTCTGATTAGAAATATGACGATTAAACAAAACATCCTATTTTTTATTACTTAGTATAATTTCATAAAATTCGGCACACGTTTTTGGTGTTATCAAAAAATAAGTTAAATAAGCTTTGCCAGTGGCGTACGGCATGGGCAACTAACACCTTCACCCCTTATAAATTTTAGGCCACTGTCCAAAGACTTTTGATGTTTTTTTTTTTAATAAAGGATGAAACTAAAAAAGTGATTAGTTTTCGAAATATTCGCACTCAAATACATTTTTAAATTCTGAAATTTTTAAATTTTTATTTGTTTTTAATACGTTTATAAGAAAGGTACATTATTTATTTTAAAAATATCAAAAAATTCAAAATTTGATGTCCAAATAACTTTTTGGATAGTGACGTAAAATTTAGGGATAAATAATAAATAGAACTATTACGCCATCTGTTGAACTTAAGAACTATTAAATATAGAAAATTGCTCCATCTGTTGAACAAAAGGACTCTTAAATATGACACATAAATGACATCTATCAAAATTAGGTAATTTTACGAATATTGGAATGGCTACTGTGGCTACAGGCCAATTTAAAGGGGCATCATAATTATAGACGTCTACACAATACTTAAGTAATATTTTGTCCTCCTGCTGATATAGTTCTGTTATGCTTTACGAGCCAGTTAGTAGTATTGATTAAGTCTCTATGATTTTGATTGTTTAGTGCTCGACTTGTTTTTAATATATTTGATAAAATATAAAATGTTTCTAGTAAACGTGTTGGAATAAAAATTTAGGCCATTTTATTTTCATCAACTTTTCTCACTTAGTTTTGAAACCATATATTCTATTTTTGCAGATAGATAATGCTGGTTTTACGCATACACACACGACACCAACGCACAGTATTGTAGACCAACCGTCGCTGGTTCCAGAAAAACCAGAAAGCAAATTCTTCCCGATTTGCCAGAAGATTTTTCCCAAAAATGCCAAGTGAGTAGTGTTTTTATTACTAAACTAATAATAAAGAAAAATTAAAAGAAATGTCAAAATTCGACTATATGGGGTTCTCTACAACCATAGAACAGGTATCAAGGTAATTTCTATACAATTAAATATGGCTCAGCTCACAACAAATTTATTAATTTATTTTATCAATTTGGAAAATTATTTTTAAACGATTTACAAAGCACCAAGCGATTTTTCAATTTTCATATTTTAACTTTTGAAATAAGTATACATTTCATCTTCCGTTTGAACTTTAAATGGTCAAACTTATATTCCGAATAGAATGTGTAAAATCATTTCAGACTTTTTGCGACAAATTATCTATGAAGACAAAATAAAAAAATTGCTCTGTTTATTACTTTTCTAAACATTATCTGCCATCTCTAAGTGTTATTCTAAGACCAACATTTTTCTGACACTTTTCACACGCGTCTTTCGCAACAATACAAAACAAAAACATTGTTAAACGAAAATAAAAATGTATTTATATTTGTCAACAAGACACAAAGGGTCGCTGTATTTCCTCAGTAAAAATTCAAAGCCAATTTTTATAATGGATTAAATTCTTCTGATTTTTACAACGACGATGGCATTTTTGAAGTTGATATTTGAAATGGGATGTTTTATAGACCTCTTTGCCCTTTTCCAAGTCAATTAACTTCTAACCGACTTCCGAAAGTATCCAACTTACGTCCTGTGTCCTGTGTTTGAGCTGAATTTTTTATTACTGTCTAGTTATCGTCCTAACCTTCATTATTCTCATTTTACAGCTTTTGGGATGTTTTTATACGTCACGCACATTTTTTTGTGCGATGATCAATTAATTTTTTATACAATTTCGGACGTTTGGTTCATTTATCTCTAGAAACACGCATCAATCAACTCAGGATCTTCGTTTTTGTGATCTCATAAAAAAGAAATTCGTTTTGTTTTCGTAAATAATGTAACGTTTTGAAAAATGCGTCTGAGGTGATTTGCTGAATTCATAATAGTGAAAAGGAAGATACAATTGGATTCAATACATACATAAAACATTAGTTTTTATTTATTTCTTATATACAGGGTAGCAAACAGTCTGGCAAGAAGATACAATATAAAAAGATTAACAAATATCACAGTCAAAAATATTAGGTATTAGCCATCCGTACCCTGTACAAAATTTGCTTCTGGGGTCAAAAATTCACTGGTAAGGGGGTGAATAATTTATTATTATACTTAAAATGGCACAGTATTTAATACACTCATGAACAAATATTAAATACTTTGCATTTATTTATACCTACATTTATCAAAAAACCCTGTACGCTACATAGCACTCCATGAAAAACGTGTATGACCCTTACCTAACCTGCCCTGTAAGCTGTGCCTTAACGAGTCAACGTAAATAAAAAATTAAATTAATCGATTTAGTTCGTTGTTGGATCGGTGATGATCGGGACTTACTATATTAAAGTAGTCGCTAGCTGTAAGTGAACGTTTTTTAACCATAAGTAAAAGCAGAATCTAAGAAATTGTTTTGCATACCAATTTGTTCTAAAACCGTTTCACAAAACTCTAACGTCTGATCAAAATCATCTTCTATTAATTCTTGGTGGTTATGAATTTTGTAAGGGTCGAATTTATTTCTATGCAAAATGTTTTGTACAGTCTTCCTGTTAATACCATGATTTCTCTTAAACAAATTGATAAAAATACGATTTTGACATAAGTTTTTTTGACAGCTCTGTTAACAAAAAAAAATAATAGATCTGGCACGTAAACTCAAATAATAATTGCAGAATCAGGCGGAAAATAATCCATAACTTTAATTGTGTATTAACGATTAATTATCTGATTATCATTTATTACAAAGATCCTTAGTTATAAACTACTAATATACAGTATGTCCCCCTAAGTTGGAATCATATGGAAAACTTTTTTATTATTATTTTTAGGAAAAAAGTTATTCTTCATAAAAAGTTCTGCATTATCTAAAACCTAGAATACAGTCATCAAATATCATATTTTTTTAGTGGTATACGAGCTTTGTCAAAAAATATGAATTTTGCTCAAGAGTAAAGTACGTTTATTTTTGACAAAATCGAAAATTTTCATTAAGAAAAGTTGATTAGAATTGAAAATTACATTCAAATATGCAATTACACCGATCTATCTGAAAAAAGAGATTTTCTTATTTTTTATAAATTTTTCTACACATTGATTGTAAATATCTGAAAACGTTATAAATTACATTAGCACACGATACGCTTTCCATTTCTTGATGTTTGTGAAGAATTTAGCAATTTTCCTAATGAAAATTTTCGATTTTGTCAAAAATAAAGGTACTTTACTCTTGAGCAAAATTCATATTTTTTGACTAACCTCGTATACGGCTTAAAAAATTTGATATCTGATGACTGTATTTTAAGTTTTGGATCATGCAGAACTTTTTATGAAGAATAACTTTTTTTCTTAAAATTAATAATAAAAAAGTTTTCAATATAATTCCAACTTAGGGGGACATATTGTATATATTTTTGAAATCAGCTTTTCATATCCTTTCAAATGAGGAGTTACATAACCCCTTTACTATTTAAAAAAATTGATAGCATATCTGTCACCTGAAGGGAGTTCATGAGAATAGAGAAAATTTGATACCTTCGGATACTTCGACGAGTTTAATTATTGACGTGTTCAAGCGTCTTTCTCTACTCTCTAAAATTAACGAGTTTCCAAGGGGGTTGAGACTTAATCTTTTTCACTGTATGGGTATAAAAATGGCTAATTTTAAACGAAAATATCGGTTTAAATTGAATTAACATTTATTTTTCTTAAAATCGACTATAATAAGCGCAATTTTGAACAGTAATTTAGTCATGTTTATACAGAACAAAGGAAGAATAGCATACCAAAATGAATTGCAAATTAGCACGCGGCGTTGCCAAGAGCTCACATTGTAACTAACCAGAAGTTAGCACCCAATTTAGCCTAGGGTTCGGTCTAGAAAGGATTATAGATTAGTTTAAATTATTTCCCACAGAGGAGCGATTCTATTTGAAATTTTCTTCCTTAATGACATCGTTTTTACGAGGGGTCATAGATTGGAAAGGTTATATTAAACAAAATTGGTAATTATAGCAACTATGGTCTTTACGTTATTTAATTTTTGTCGTATATCTAGGATGAAAAAAAAAAAAGAAAGAAAATTAATGCCTTAAAACCCTCTCTGTCTCATTTAAGCCTCTTACGGCTCCGAAGACTATTCAAAGAAATTAATACACCTCGAAAACCTCTCAAGGATACGTCCATGGCAAAACCCATTAGTAGAAGAAACCGCACGTTGATTGCGATGCAAAAAAAGTATAGGTTGGTTTTTAATTGGTTAATCATTCGCTCTATTCTTTAGATTTAGCGCCATCGGCTCATTATTTGTTCCCAAAACTCTGGAAAGATAACATATTTTCGATAAATGATAAGGAACACATTGTATAAATAGAATTTAGTTAGTGAAATTACAACCTAGTAATAATGTTGTTTTGGTCCTTATTTTCCATTCCAAATCTGCACAAAATAATCAAAACACAATACGACAAAGTAACTCACTTTCTTATAAACTAAATAACTTTAAAAAGCAATATAAACACTCTACAAGTCGTTGAGAAAAAAATAACATGATTTTCTATCTTCCAATGAAATGAATGAAGCTATGCATATGCAATTAACAATACAAGAAAGTAATGTTGGTTGCATAGGTGTCAGTAATTTTAAAAAAATTTACTGGTTTGTTACATAAAATAAGACATTTCGTATTTTATATCAATACCATCTCTGGGAATAGTGATTTTCATTTCTGGAAACTATTCGAGAAATCAACGATTTGATTACACTTTGCTCAACGTTTTGTACCTTACTTGGGCAATAAAAATCACATTAAGTCACAGATTGAGTAAAAAAATGCTAAATTCTAAAAATATCACTTCTTATCTCTAAGTGGTATTGGCATATAAAATAATAAGTCTACTCTGTTTTCTAATAGCTTCCTGACATCCTAAAGAATGCGTACGTAATATGTAAAGATCGTCAAATGGTTTATTGGTACACCTGCTGCAACACATATGGGAGGAACTGAAAAAAAGGGATATTGTAATTAAACTAACAATGAATTGGAGTAGAGTATACAGTTAACATCTGCGAACATATGTGAATGAATACCTTCGGTACAGTTTGTTTTCGATTGATTTTTTTATATATTTATAATTTATAATTGCTTCCTGAATGCTTACGAAATGATAAAATTGAACCCATATTTACAGCGTTTGAAAATCTATTTACAATTCAAAAATACTATTTCCGAAAGTGATCATTATGTAGAACGAATTATTTTTTATTACTCAAATGATCTGGTATAGTTTTGACAGTAATAGTGTACTCATGTTGATGTAATAGTATAATATTCATTTTACAAGGGCTCCCAACAACATTTTATAACTGTTTTAAAAACCTATTTAATAAATCGTTCATTATGGTCAATATCACATAGTCAAATATAAAATCATATTTTTATATTAAGTGTACCCAAAGGTGTCTATAATTTAATATATTTATAAAAATAATATTGTGACCGATTTAGGTATAAATTGTATCATGTATTCTGACTATCTGAAATAATAAAATATCAAAAATGTCATTTAGTTCGTCACACAGGAAGTTGCAGTTCTTCTTCTTCTTCTTCTTCTTCTTCTTCTTCTTCTTCTTGGATTTAGCGATATGTATACGTTGTAATGCCGCTAAACATAGCAGAGCTGTGCCATTTTTGATAGGTCGGCAGCATTGTTTACCAGGAATGTCTTTTTGTATTTTAAATAGATAACTAGTTATAATATTTTTAATACAAATCCCGATGTACGTCAGAGATCATGTATGACGTCAAGGCGTTGCAGTGTTGTCTAATCGTCAGAATAGTTGAGGAATTTAGAAAGTTTTGAAATTATAAAGTTGTCTTTGTT